TATTGTCGATTTGATGTTCTGACTGTAGGGGGGCTCAATACCTATTCTATTAAATTGCACTCTATGGTTAATGCAAAAAAAAATCTGCTGTCTATCATTTAGATTTTTATGGAGGGGTACATTTATCCATTGCACAAAGACAAGGTATTTAAAAATGATGTATGTCTGTGAGATACATTCAAAGCTCATAACAAAGGATGCAGTGTTGACTCCAGTGGCACTGTTTATGTGGAAATGTGAAATATTACTTGAAGGGAAACTTTACAGCTATAGTACAAGGGCATAGGGCTCCATAACACATGTTCAACTACTAAAACTCTACTGTGAAGGTGTTTTTTCTCTCTAGTTTCTATTTTTTACACCATGCAGGACAGGATTGAACCATATTACATGTTTTAAAAATGAAATCTCTTCTTATCATTTAAATTAACATAATTTAATACAACACTGCAATGAGGGAACAATGAGCAGAAAAGGCACTACAGAAATATCTGATTCAAGACTGATCAATAGAGCCAGCTGCAGAGAATAATCACTTCAGAGTTCAACCTGAGGATTTTAAAATGAAGCCATGTTTTTTTTAATCTATTTCTGCTAAAACACAACCCTTTTTGAGCTAAATTAGCTAAAGCATCATAGAAGAGGATCCTCTGCCTTTCTTTTATGATAGGGGATAAAAAGGGAGGCAATATAAAGCTGCTCAGCTCGGTCTGCAGTTGGGGTGATAACGATGTTTCCATACTGGCAGAAAAAACTTCAATACTACCCTCACCTCATATCATTTGTTGCAAAGTACCATGGCCTTGCACAATCCCTGGTGCATGATCTCCTCTCATTTGTGGTCTGAGCCGAACGATATAAGGACTCAAATCCTGGCATTCATAGGGTGTGTATGTGACACCTGCTTATGTCCAATTTTGATACACTTTTGACACACTCTGAAGGAAAAAAATCACCCTATGGATACTGTTGAAAGTTGTATGTGCCTCACCATTTTATTATTCTCAACTTGTCTCGTCTGCACCTATGCATCTCACTCAGAACAAAAATCGCATCAAGGCCTCTTCAGGTTAGTCTCGATGGAGAAATTAGTTCCTCTGCTCTTTATTTCATGGATTTTAGATCTTAGTGATTATTGATATTAAATAAGTCAATTCTTATATTTAATATCACTGAAGTTACTTTTGACAAATTCTTTGCGAAACATCACGTTTGTTATTGGGAATATGAAAAATACCATTAAAGGGTTGTTTTGCGGAAGAGAGCTATCTAATTCCTACTAATATTCACCAAGGTATTAAGTTACTCTTTTAAAACTGATTTAAGATTTTTTCAGCAGTGTGGATTTTTCCTTTATTCACAAACAAAGGACATTTGCACAGACAAGAGGTGTTTCTAAAATTGCAGAAACACTTGTTCTTCATTTCAATAATACGATCTCATCAATTTTTAAACATCTGTGTAATTTGTGGACATTCACGTCATAAAACCACGGTTGACAAACACAGGACAGGACGGGGGGTGACAGTGTTAGTGTTAGGTGAACAGTGATAAGACACAAGAGCAACAATGACAACAGCAATGCTTTGGATTAGTGAAAAAGTTAAAAAAATCACAATCTTGAGTCTCAGTGACAGAGTGATAATGGACAAACACTCAGTGCAATAATTTGTAAACAAAATATACACATACATACTTCACCTTGTACTCTAGATCTAAAGTGGAAACGTTTCTGTTTTGGTTATAGTCATTAATTTTCAGTCTTACCTCATTTTTTTTTTTAATATACTCCAATTATATATGTATATTTACAGAACTTATCAATCAATTTTTTTAGAGTGGTGGATACTACCACAGGGTTCAAAAGTAAAAGGATTATCTAGTAAACATGTTGCTATACAACTCTCCTCAAAGTGCACGACTGTGATTGGAAAGTGCATGAGCCTGCCACCATCATCTCACTGTTATATCTATTCACACATCGAACCATGCTCATTAAGCAAGCACACATCAAAACCCTTCAGCTAAAATCTTCACAGCGCGATGCAAGCACTGCAATAACATGTGTACTGCATGACACGTTGAATAAAGCACAGTGGACTGCGGATAACTCATTAAAGCTACAGACAGCAGTGTGGTATATGATCCGAAGACAGTAAGTGCAATTTAATCAGATAATAAACACTCGCCTCTCCACTCACACTTCCATTGGCTGGATGCGGGGTGGCAGGTGTAAATCTGTGACTTGGCAAGAAATGGGCTGCTTGAAGAAATAAATGTTTCCTTGCTTCCACTTCTGAATAGAGACATAAGATAATTCCTTAAAAACATGAATAATAAACAAGATTTCGATTTTCTTGCAATTGTTATGATAAATAACATCGATCCAGTTCTAAATGCATGTGTTACTTTCTGGACTTCCTGATGAGATTAGGGCACACATAGTCTTCTATTTACATTAAGATTTGTTTTTTTTGGACAGCTTGTAAACCACCAGCTATTTGGGTTTGGTTTTTTCTTCCTGAACAACATCTTGCCAACCAATATGTCCAAAGCTCTGCCCATTCGGCAAGATTGTACTTGTTGCTTAGCAACACTGGCTTATATAACATCAAATCAAGGCAATTTTGAGCTTGTTGTACCACGCAAAGCACAGTTAACTACTTGAGTAATTAAACAGACCAATTAGAGGTTGTCTGTCTTAGAAAAGTGTTGATTCAGAAGTAGATTGCAGGTGTGCAGTTGGAACACGTTTTTTTACAAGAGAGTTTGATATTTGTATTCGTGCTCTTCTCACTGGTTTGAAGTAGGTGGAGTCACGTATTTTAGAGCATCCATCAGGATTTATCAATATTACTTTATGTTGTCAGTCAAATCTGATAAGACCACAGGAACAACAGACTAGTTGAGAGTTTAAGTGCTAAACTCTTAATAAATAGAACCTAAGAATGTTTTGATCTTCCCAAACTGTAATCGTTGCCTTTGAGTCGAAGATATTGAACATCATACATATATATGCAACATTTCTTTAAAGTTCTTTAAAATATATTCAAATAAAATCTATTTTTAAAAACGTTTGGGCTTGTTTTAAGCAGGAGGGTATTTACACTGCTGTGTGTGGCTTTATGTCACCTGACAGTCTTCCTCTAGCGAGTACAGTATGCAGCAACACGACACATCTGGGTCACAATAGCCGTACATTTACATCCTCAGGCTCAACGTCGAGCACACACATGGCAGTTCCACTTGCTAAATACACACACACACACACACACACACACACACACACACACACACACACACACACACACACACACACACACACACACACACACACACACACACACACACACACACACACACACACACACACACACACACACACACACACACACACACACACACACACACACACACACACACACACACACACCACACACACACACACACACACACACACACACACACACACACACACTTCCAGCAGAAATCATTTTCACACCAAACAAGGAAACATCACAATCCAGATTCTTTATGCATGCAGCGTGTGAACACACTATAGTCCTGGTTTACTAAGCTCTTGTTTCACGATCACAGGTGTTTTTTGCAGAGTTTACATCGAGATACATGAAGCCTTTTAGCCTGACAAGTTCATGTTTGAGCCTTCACTCTCTTTAAAAAACTGGAAGCTGACATCATTTAAGGTTGAATTGCTCCTTCATTGTTTCCGTCTGCATCTCTGCCTGTGAAATAGCTCCTGGTGACACATCCTTAGTACATTTGTTTGGTTAAAAGTTGCAATTGAGTTATGTGTAATGTCCCATGGCTCATTATTCTGTGTACAGTGCAGCTGTGTGTTAATGAATATTTACAGTACCACCGAAAACAACTAGTAGAAGAGAGACATAGACTTGGCACTGCTTCAGTATTATCACATAAACACAGACTTCAGAGTCTGTACAACTGTTATGAAGTGTAAGTGTGTGTTTGTGTGTGTGTGTGTGTGTGTGTATGTTTCTGTTGCTGCCGTCCTCCTCCTCACTGTGTGGGGAGAGCAGTCGTCTAAATCCAGCAGCTCCCTGACCAGTCTCTCTCCAAACTGCGCTCGGCTGTAGCGTTTAAACCGTGTAGGCGTCGGACATCTTGTAGAGGATGTACGCGTTGTTGATGGCGATGCTGATGCTCAACCAGAACACCTGCTGCCAGGTCTTGTTAGGCTTATGAAAGATAAAGTACCTGTGGGAGGAAAATATATATTTTTACTGAACAAGTGTCAAGAAAACATGATAATGGCAAGTCAATTCTTATCAATAAAGACCTCAAAATGCGGCTGATTACAAGCAGGGGCAAAAAGGATACAGAGTTTTTACTTTGTGTTTTGTGACATGATGAATGTACTGTAACACTGGCAAAAGAGCTATTTAGGTAACTGAGTATTGTCAGTTCATAGCAAAATCTATTGTGTTGCAAGGACATTCCCGAAATACCGAAAAATTACAATTTCTGATATCCTTCAATGCCAAAAATGCAAAGGAGAAATTGAGAAAAGCAGCAAATCATCAAATTGGAGAAGTTGAATAGTATTTTTGAGCTTGAAACATATCTTAATCGATGTATTGATTGTCAAAATCAAGTATGGTCAATCAACTAATTGAGCTCAAATAAAATTAATTGTTATGAGGTAACAACCAACACATTTTCATTCAAATACAGCATATTTCTCTACGTTGAGTCACCTTGGTCACCTTAAGCCAATGGTCATAACAGAAAAGGTAAGGATATACAACAGTATGTTGCTTTAAGGGAAGTATGTCATGTTCCGTCTAAAATAGGATTGATTTAGGCAAGAAAGCAGGTCAAATGTTACACTGTCACATTAACATCATGAATCAACTTGCTATGCTGTACATACTTGCTGTACTTGTCGTCATATTTGCAGATGTAGCTGAGGTGCGCAGCAAAGGCCTCAACAGCCAGGGGACAAGTGATCTCCCCACTTTTCCTCTTAATGATGATACCTGCCACAAACAAACACAGCACAAAATGAGAGTGAGACACAGACAGCAGATCCCACTGAGGAGACTCGTTTTCTTAAGACTATGGGGCCAACTGAAGGGGAGAGGGAAAGCAGCGGGTTCATTCATCCTCTGCTCCCTGCAGGGCTGCTTTGTTTACTCAGTAATGGGTCTTATTCACAGCAGGAAACGCACAGGGGAAACTAATAACATTAACAATGGCTCCGTTCCATTTGAGTCGCAGTAAGCCGTGACAGTGAGCCAGCGTGCACGATAATGGGGACATGTAAATGTAGCCATTAATAATGTTAGTGGTTACACATGTATAACTAATAACATTTCCTACATGACTGAATGCTCCACTGTTATTGGTGTTTGCTTCAGATATTTTACCAAGGAAAACATATCATCTGTTCTGGGGTCAGATTTTACGGTGCAAATGTTGTACCCGAATAGTATAATGACCCACTATTATGTATGTTGAGACTCTTCTCTAATTTACCTCCTTGACCATAACTGTCTGGCAAAATCCCTTCTAAATGAGAATTGGAGTTGCAGTATATACTTTATTTTACATCTCATCACCTAGTTAAGAGAGCCGTGAACTAAATCCAGACTTTAGTTTTTAACCAACACGCTTGCTGAAGCGTCTGTATGTAACATTTGTGATATTGGGCTATATAAATAAACATTGATTGATTGATTGATGGATATGTATCTGACTGAGCTTAGGAGTCACGTTCAGACATAAATTATATGATGTAAATCTAACATTCAACTTGTTTTTACTCTCGCCAACCTAGGATCATTTTTTTTAATTTGCAGTGTTAACTGTTATAATGTAATGTGTGTCATCAGAAGAAAACAATTGTTTTTATTTATAATCCTTATTGATTGTATTGGAAACTCATTTAGTTCTCCTTTTAGTACAGAGTGAACATCACTTGCACACACCCCCCCCCCTGTTGTTTAGATGTGACCTGAGTGGGAGACGAGAGGCTCCCTGAGCGCGCACACGCACGCACGCACGCACACACACACACACACACACACACACACACACACACACACACACACACACACACACACACGGGGGGAAATCAATCATAGACAATAACAGTTTAATTGATCTGGGGCTTGCCTTCCACATTCGTCATTCAAACAGATTGCAGCCTTTCAACTGAGTTTAAGACCGAACAAAACGCTTCCAACGAGGGTGGATTAGACCAGTGGTTCCCAAACGGTGTGCCGTGAGGCAAGTCCGGGTGTGCCGTGGGATTTTGTGACAACCATACTTTATTATTGCAATATACAACTACACAAAAATAATAATTTTTTTATTTACTATATCAGTACTTTGTAGGTTTATATGTACGTAATCTGCGCGACTTGTGCGTCCACATCTCCACGTGCAGTGCTGCATAAACATGGCTGAGTCAGCGATAACTTTAGAGGGGTGGAGGTATGCCCATTATTTTGAGTTCGTCCGAAGAATAGACAGGAATGTGACGGTGAGGTGCAAACTGTCCAGGCCAGAAGCTGTTACCCACTGCTGTAAACACCACGTCAAACCTCAACACACACCTGCAAAGAACACATGCTAAGGTGAAGCTACCGCACACGCTATTTGTTGTTTGTTTATATCACGTAGCCTGTTCTTCTTCTCTGTCTTCCGGTTGTTGCCTGTTTTGAATGACAAATACACACTACCACCGCCTGCTGGTAAGGAAAGTTATTGCCACTCACGCATGCGCAGTTCGTACGTGCTCGGCGAGTAAAGCAACGTGTAAAGTAACGAGTTACTTTATGTAGATAGTAACGAAGTAGTGTAATATATTACTTTTTTAAAAGTAATATGTAATATATTACATTTTTTTTAGTAACAACCCCATCTCTGGAGTTGGCGTTCTCTACTCTGGTTTACATGAAGAACAACAGGAGGTCACGGCTCTCTGTTGAACAGGACTTGCGAGTGGCCCTCTCCTCAGTGCCACCAAGGATTACAAAAATCTGCGCGCCCCGACAGGCACATCATGTATCTCACTAATTTGTAAATCGGCAAAATATTTACAATAGCACATGTTTCAATGCTGATTGCTGAAATGTTACATTTATAATTTGTAGTTCAGGACCATGGACAATGCCGCTTCCTTGCATTGACAGTTCTCTGTGCTGAATTTCTGCTGAGTTTCCTTTGCCTCATTTTTAATGTTGTGACCTGTCTGGTTTAAATGAGTGTGTTGCTGCTTTGATGAAGCCTAATTTGATAAAGTTTCAAATTAATTTCTGAAATATTTCGTTAATAAATATTTCATGAGTAATATAGTTTATTTATTTGGCATTAGTAAATAATTATGCACATTTACAGATATTTTACATGATATGAGTGATAACACGTGTTATAAGGGCTATTTTGCACAATAGGTGTGCCTTGAGATTTTTACTTTGGGCACAAAAAGTTTGTGAACCACTGGATTAGACTATGTGAGAATATCATGATGCTTCCGCTCCTGGAAATGGATTATCATGGATTAGAAGCTCTCATTGATTTTCCCTGACATGAATACTTAAGCATTTGCCAATTTCACCTGATGGTAACATCCAGAGCTGACGGTAAGCTTATTTTCACTGAAAAACGTGTGCACTAATGCATATTGTCAGAACTAAAAGCCTTTAAATATTGATGATTCAGTGAGACACATACACCTTTAGTTCTGGGTGCAGGAGAGCAGTTTACCTTGTTTTGTTGGGGGATAAGCGTTGGTGAGGAACCTGAAGTGTCCCTTGTTGTACCAGCTGATCAGCGACATGCTGCCCTTCATCATGACTCGTGATTGGCCGCGCTGCGCTGGCGTGGAGCTGCACACCAACATGTTCTGTGGTAGACCTGTGCAGTCGCTCTTCCTGGTGCTCAGCAGGCCACAGCAGTAGATATCTGGAGAGGGATCAACGCAAAGACATCTTAACATCTGTACGAATCACTTTGTAACACAGAGATATTCTATTAGTATTTTCACAGATGTGAGAAACATTTTGTATAGGTACGTATGAATACAACACCAATTTAAGATTAAATGATTAGTAAATTAACCCATGAGTCGGTAAACATACAAATTATTTATTTGGATGATTAGTTCATCATTTGATATTATTTTCCTAAGGATTGCAAACAATTCCTGATTTCAACTTCTCAAATCGTTGCTTTCTTTTATAATTTTTCCATGATATAAAAATACATATTCGTTGAATTTTTGGTCGGGCAAAACAAGACATCTGAACATGTCAACTTGGGCTTTCAGAAATTGAAATGGCCATTTATTTTCTTAGACTAGTTTGTGATATTTAAAGACCAAAGTGTCATCGATTAATTAAAGAAATAACCAACAATTCGGTGGAAGAAATTCAAGTAATACAATTGTGAGTTGCCCTAGTAACATCAATGATAAAAAAGTGTTCATCCTTAACTGAAACAATAGTCCATTAATGAATTGGGTAGATGAAGGAGAGATAATCAGCAGTTATTTGGATACTTCTTGGCAATTGCAGATTCTCAGATATGAGTATTTGTTGAGTTGAACCACAACTAGGAGAGCAAACTCCTGCACAGTGCTTATCTCTCTCACAGCTGTACTCTCTTATTTTCATACAGCCTTTGTCCTTCCCTTGTCTTTTGTCTTTCCACCATGGGCGTCGCAGCCATTATATGAGGGTGGGACAAGTCCCCCCCACTTTTTCAAATGATTCGTTTAGACCCCCCCACTTTTACCATGTGGAAAGTCCGTGAATTGGTCTATCCACTCGCCGCACTTTGTAGAGCGCTGTGTCAGTGCTTCACTATCAAATCCATTCCACTTGCTTATTGAGAGAATGCCCAAATCAATGAAACTCCGTAGCCTACCATGTTTTCACTGCTACTTTGTACCAAGGTAGATTCTCACATAGCGCGCGCATGTTCAAGGAGTGTTGTCATAGTTGGACAGCTCAGACCTGTTGTATGAAGCGATGCCGGTAGCGGAGGTAAGGCAGTAAAAGACACACACACCAAATGTTCAGGAAATGGTTAATACAGCGAAAATCAAAGCTGACGATCTCTTGGTTTGATATGTTTTCTCCCCCAAACAACATGGACATAAGAACATTTTTTTCAAAGAAGAGGAAAGTAAGTCATCAGCTGGTAGCAGTTAATCAGTTAACAACAGTGATGGCGGCGGCGTCTCACTTCTTGAGAGGAGTTTTGTCTTTATGTCATGATAGAGAGATACAAATGCTGAATAGTTTAGATGAGAAAAGGCATCAAAATGCCAGGTTACTAGTATTTATCATGTAAACAGGGAACATGAATAACCCGATCTCTCTGTGCTCATGTAAACACCATATCCCCAATATGATCATAACATGTCAGACGCAGTCAGTGTGTTTTACTGCCTCAGTTCGATAAGAGATTATTTTCTGAGTTCTTAGGTACTCTCTCTCAAAATGGTAATGTGCATTATGTTTTAATTATACTTCTTATCATTCAGAAGCTCTTTGTGTGTGTTTATGTTTTACTGAGTGCTTATAGGCAATTTCCATCCCAGTATTCAGTTAACTATTTATTTTCTGTGCACATTACATAGACTAGCTAATATTCTACCTAATGCTTGGGGCTTTGAGTCTTCAAAATGTCCAATGTCACAGACTGGGACTTACTTTAGAGTCAGTTGTATTTACATTCAGTATGACTTGTTATGATTCAATGTGAAAGAGTATACTGCTCAATAAATAATGATCACTTCACGACCTCTCTTGATATCTAGGCGCTTGAGAGTGAGGCAGAGGCAGAACACAGGGACAGTGGAGAGAGGTCCATTGCTGAGGTGAGTGATGAAAGGGAAATGACAGTTTAGAGTAAATTGTGATCCCAGAATGTTAAGGAAATCAGTGGGGATATTGAACAGGAAACATTTCAGTCAAGGGGCATCATATGACCAATATAGACAGAAGAGCAACATTTATTTGAACATTTAAGTCAATGATACCATTCCTAGGTGAACTTAACATCTGTATGGAGTCAGATCAGTCTCAATATTAATAAATGCTCACAGAAGGATTCACAAATGTATTTTGCGATTTATATATAAATGGCTCTCCACAACAATATCTCTCAATGCACAATATTGTTATTGTTGTATATAAATGTACAAAAAATGAGCATTTAAACTGCTTTTTATTAATTCAAAGACGGCTCTGAATTAATAATCAAATATGTTTCTTTTCTTTACTAGTATAGCCACATAAAAGTATCAAACCACCTGTTAAAATGCACCAGAATATAGGAAATCTATTTATTTTTTTCGTGGGGGGCGACCCCCCATTAAAAATGTCCCCCCCACATTCAGGATGCTTCCTACGCCCATGCTTTCCACCCATTCAATTTGTTCATTTCTTACATGGATGAGCAGTGGCAGAACAATCATGCGGCTGAGTGCTGCTGATTAGTTAATGATCTCAATTTGGAGTAAGATTTGTATCTGTACAGTACATTTTTGTATGTGTGCGGCCCAGAGTAAGTGCTTTAGAGATGATTAACTCTGCTCATAAATCCAGGATGAAAGAAAGACAAAATGGCGGACAATGCCTTCAAAAGCTCAGGACAGATTTTTGGCTGAATGCCTCATGGTAGCTAATTATGAAGACAAATATTGATTTGATCTTTTAACTTGTTTTTTCTTGTCTTGGCGTACTGCGGCTCTGCCCAATTGAGTTTAAAATGGCTCGTCTCTAATTGTTTAGCGAAAGAGCATTTGTGATATGTATATAGATATATATATATATATATATAAATATATATATAGTGAATGTAAATACTTGCCCTGATGATATCGTCAAAAGAGTCACATCTGTTATGTTGATTGTTTTTTCTCTTCCTCCCCTATTCAGTCATTTTTATCCTTTTATGGCATGTTGACATTGTCCCATATCTGCTATTATTACAATAGGGGTCACTGAAGAGTATCTAAATGTGACTCGCCCTAACCACAACAGGATTATAATCAGGGGTGCACATAACTTTTTTGCCCTGGTTCTCAAAGGAGCACCTGGAGATGTTGCTTGGTGCTCATCCTTAAAATGAAATAAACCGTAACTTTTGAGGGGGTCTTGACTTTATTTGCCAGACACACGCGCTGAACACACATGCAGAGGTGAACACAGAACACACGTGCAGAGGTGAACACAAGACAACATTAGCACGACCAGTAATCCTACAAGCTGTCGTCACTACCCTCCTGACTGTTCTCCTCACTGTCTTCCTCTCTGTCAGACATGGTAGCTGATGATGTAGGCCTATACTTTCTCTCTGGTTGAGTCTGTGATCAGCTGCTTGCATCCACAAGTCAATAGCTGGTTTTGGGTCGAAAGTCTCTGTTGTCATCTTAGACAAGTGGATGTAATCAAATAAGTATGTGAACATAACCAATAACCTACCATAGCCAATAACAAATGAATGGAACTTATTTTATTTGTGTTGTTCATTCATATCTTATTTTACCTTAACATTTATGTATTTATGCATTTTTTTGTATCTCTCCAGTTTTAAAGGATATTTTTGGTTTACTGTCCTAGTATACATTGGAATGATTTCAAACCTGTTTATCCCAATAATTATAAAGGAGTGCCTTGGAAATATGTGTTTACATAAATTGTGACCAAACCGTTTGAACTTAGACTAAAGTGAACTATCTAAACACTCAGAGTCCTTTACCTCACTGAGCTGTAGTATCAGCCTCTCAGTCTGACTGGAGAGGACTCTCCCTCCACATCATTGTAGAAACATCTTCTTCTTCCGTTAGAGCAGCTAGCACCAGATGCTAATAACAACAGCGCCGGAACCGGTGCACCCTCCCTCTCTCCCTCGCACTTTGGCTGTGAGCTGCGGGCGCCAGATAAGCCAACATCCCCCATTTTCATCACTTACAGCGCCCATCGTACAGGGCAAATGCAACGTGTAACCGGGGTGAAAAGGGTGTTACATTTACTTAATTGTGAATATTGTTACATCAAGGCCGAAAATTAGGATGAGCCCCAATATACAAGCTGTTAATAAACTTTTCAATCAAAACGGTCAAAAATGTTTTTTCCCTCCCAGAGCTGCCAGCGCAGCGCCTCCACAGATCTGGCGCCCTAGGCGAACATCTATTACGCCAGCGCTACGGGCCGGCCCTGAGTTCATATCATAGGTTCATATGCAACTCGCAAATATATTTCTCTCTCTCTCTCTTCTCTCTTCTCTTTTCTCTCTTTTCTCTTTTCTCTTCTCTCTCTCCCTCTCTCTCTCAATGTTGGTACGCAAATGCGCCTTTTTTCAAATGACACGGTGCTCTTTTTTTGGCGGAGGTGCGCATGCGCACCTGCGCACCAGTTATGTGCAGCCCTGATTATAATGTCTTCCTAAAATGTGCCTTTGGTATAATGAGCATGAAAATCAGAGCTCTGTTGAAACAATCTTCAAAGCTAAATTATCAGCATGAAATATCGCAATTTGCTCCATAACTCAATGATTCACAAATGGGGGTACACGGACCCCTAGGGGTACGTTGGGGTACTGCAGGGGGTACGTGAGATTTATAAAAAAAGAAAAAAAAATGAATTAAAAAAATACCATGCATGATTACAAAAATAATCTTAGTACAATAAGTTAAATAGAAAACACAATTTTATATAAAATATTCCTAGAACCACCAAGGGGGTCCTCATATAAACATGTCAAATTGGTGTATTGTATTTTATAGTTTTGCATAATATATGATTTTGTTCATTGGTTTGTTAAACAGATATTACTTCAGTTGAAAAACTCCTTTGAAAAATCAGTTTAAATTTGTTTTCTTTTTTCATGCATAAAATGAAAATATCCTTAGTTTGTTGTAAAGGAGTTAATAAATCACACACTGAGGGAAT